TCACAGGCCCCTCTACTCGTTTAAAGCTCTCCTTTCAACTTCTGCCTTCTGGGTACGCGGACGTTTGTTTTCAAATTTCCTTTTTGGCCCTTCACCTTCGAGGTTCGATGAGTTAGCTTGATAGCTCTTTCCCCCATAAGAGCGGTTTGCATTTCTGGTCTGCTCATTTGAAGATTGCCTTCGGGTACTTTGAGAATACGATGCCCCTCTAGCTTTTCCCGCTATTCTGCGATTTTGAAACTTCACCGCCAATTCGAAGAGCTCCTGCAATGTGCTTGGGTTTCTAATTTCGAAGTAGTCTTGAACAGCAGGTAACAATCTTGGTAAGATTATTTCAATAATTTCCGCGTCGGGTTTCTTCCCATACAGCATATCCGTCAGTTTAATTTTTCGCAGAATAAAGTCCGTTAACTCTTCTATATCCCGTTGATAGAAACTATATAGTTCGGCTTCTAGCCTTGCTCGATCTTTCACTATGGGGAAGGCCTTTAATAACGATTTTTTGAAATTTTCAAATGTATATGTCTGGCCTCCAAATTCCCCTAATAAAAATTTGCCTATATTCTTCCACCATAGCGCGGCCTGTCCTCTTAGTGCAGATGTGGCGATGGCAACTTTTTGTCTTTCAGGCACAGGGTAGAGCTGAAAGTGATTGTCTAGGCTTTCTAGAAATATTGCCACCGAATTTTTTCCGTCGAAATTGACGTTTGGCTTGATTGACGTTCTCAACGTCTGGACCAGATATCCAAATCTTCCAATTGGCTTGTCATTTCTTGTTGTTGTCCCGCGGCTTTCATCCGATTTTCGGCCATTTCAGTTCGACAAGTGTTCGGGTGCCAATGTACAGTTGCGCGCCTCCAACCTGCACGCAACAAAGTGGTGACTGCTGAAACTGGAAATCAGACAGAGTCTTGAGAAGGGTTTAAGTCCCTTTTTATTCAACTTTAGAAATTACAAATGCGTGCTCTTGACGCTCACAAACTACGCCGACCCGGCGGTTAAAATAAAAATAAGAAACTAAAAAGAGATACTAACAATTCACTAACTACGAGGCTCTTTAAACGTAACTAACCTCACCGCGTTTTAAAGTACAACTGATAATTCAGCAAACTCTGAATATTACGTTGAAAGATTAACAATTTGCCTAGGCAAGCACACAGGCCGAAACGCGTGGTTCTTCAATTTCTGACTAACTACTTCCGCGCTCGTGAAGTAAGAAAGCACACCTTGGAACTCGTTTCCTTTCTATTTAACTCAGAATACTTCCGCTGATAATTTGAATCCTTGCGCGTTCTACTAAAAATTTACATACTCTGGCATTGGCAGTTTCAGGGGAAAGTAAGGCTTGACAGGAAAAATAGTTTAAACTTAAAATAAATGTTAGTTAAAATAAATATAAACCCTACAATCTAAATACCGAAATCGTCTTTGAGAATAAAAAAAATGTTATCCATAATCTGAAGATTCAGAAAAATGTGGAATAATGGTAAAAGCTGCAAAGAAAGTTTTTCAGCTTTTCACTATAAACCTCTTAAAATAATAATATTACATCATGTCAATATCATTATAACTTAACGACATAAATTACATCATGTAATGCTTCATTATGTAAAATCTCTTATACATAGTAATAAATTAAGAAAATACCCAAATTTCACCAGCATTGCTGTGAATAGTAGTAATTCAAATATTAGAGATATCTTGGAACTTATTTTTAAAAATAAATTTATTTATATTCATTTATATAGCAAATTTTAAATAATCAAAAGAATGTTAAGTTTTTGTTAAGTGACTTTTCTTTATGATTAGACTGGCATGTTCTTTATGTATGAAAATGTAACTTTTACATAAAATTGGGTCACAAATAAGAATGGAGATCATTTGTACTGTAGCATTTATTAAAGAAGATTCGAAGTTAACTAACTTCTAAAAACAAAAACATGATGTCACAATTTGCGCATGTAAAAAATCACTACTACCATCTGTTGGCAACATGGAGGTAGGAAGTAAGATGGAGTCGCCCTAAACAAGTTTCTCCCGTACCCTGCTCTGAAGCCCCGGCGATCCCTACGTGATGACCAAAACATTGGGTCATTTACCATTGAGTTTAATGGGATTTGACGCGTTCTCGGATGTAAATATTTTGTAATTACGTCGTAAATATACATATAAATGTATATATTTTCTTTTTCTACAACACTTCAGAGTCCTAAGTATGTGAAAAAAACATATTTTTAAACAACATTTCATTCTGAACGGAATTAAATGCTATACTTTTCACAGGACAGTTTTCTCAGAATGGTTTAATTTGAATGAAATATTTTCACAAGTTTTCGTTAATTATATTAGAAAATTTTTTTTAAGTAATTCGATTTTATTCAGTTAAGGATTACAAAAATTAAGATCAAAGTTTGTTGTATTATTAATATTAAAATTATGCATTATTTCTTTTCTATTTATAGAGCTTCTTCCTAAAATACTTTCTTAAATATGACATGATTTTTTGGCTTCTGAGGAATCTTTTAAATCGAAAAATTTAAGTCAATTTATAATTAATGCTCTATTCGGTTCATTTTAAATTAGAGAATTATTAAGAATTAGCGAAATACTTTAAATAGTACTTGACTTTCTCTGAACATAAGAAAGGGAATAAAATAAGTTTTTTTTTAAGTATTATTTAAAACTTGTAACTGAGTTATTATTAAATGTAAGGGGAATAATTCTTTTAATTATACTTATCAGATGTTTTTTACCCTTCATTTCAACAATACATAATCCAAAACTCTCTATTACGTTCTTAAGTGCGCATCTCATAGAATTTGCTTTACAATACCTTTTAACAGATTGCTTTCCAATACGAACAATTCTTGCTTAAATAGTTTTATAACGTATTTGTCAACAGGATTTCAATTTATGTTTACAATTCAATATTAAGGTTATTATATATTTAGATAACATTTATAATTATTATAAATTAGATACATTAAATAATTAGATTTCTTCGCAGTACTTTCACAGTTGTTTATAAGTGAATAAATTCTTCATTTCAAATACGTTTATAAATAATTTAATGAATATTTATGTATTTTGTCAAAAGCAGATACATGGTTTTTGCAATAATATGCAACAATAATATATGGATGTGAAAAAAATTTGTTTTATTTAAAACATTTTGGCGTTTGGAAAATAAAATAAAAGTAGCAAATACTCCATCAAGGGTATCGAAAGACGTATACAATTTTAAATGTACCGTAAGGTATTTTTCATTCTTTCAGCATAACATTTTCCTTAAAATCTATATTTTTGTAGTTCAACAGCTTAGAATTTTATAAAACAAATTCATAATCAAAATCGCTGTTGTTAGTTATCGAAAAATAATCAAGATGTGATTTTTGCGTAAATGTCACTAAACTATACAAATTGCTATTATCCATCACACTATGAATGTTTCTTTCATGCGAAAGTGTCCTTTTTTCGATTTGTATGGAACTGTCGTGTGTCGAAATACTATCAGAATCCTGTCAAGCGAGCTTCTGAATGTAAACAAAGAACACCCCATCTGGTGACCCAAGCTTCAAAGCAGTGCTTCACTTCTAGTATCGTTGGCCCCTCCTTCCTTTCCTACCTCCATGGTTGGCAAGTTTAAAACACATAATTATGTACTCATACTTGAAAAGTACATAAGAAGCCTGCCGCAAATGAATAATGGAGAATTTGAAATACAAAAAATGATATTTGAAAAGCTCCTTTAAAATTCCATGAATAAGATTTTATATTCGTAATTTTGTCACTTCAGATTAAAACACTGCTGAAATGTCGCGAAACATGATTCCGAAAATTTCAAATTTCACATATGAATATTGAAAAACAGATTCCTTTAATCAGTTTGCTCTGATTAAGAAGCATATTTCTTTCCAAAATAACTATTGTTGTTAAACAAATATTTTAGCTGTGAAAAACCTCCTTGTTCTATTCTTGCAGGCATTTACTTGCAGATTCATACTGTCTAGTTTTTTAAGGTCTATTTTCGTTTTTCTGATAATATGTGCCTTTGCAGCTTAACATGCAAGAAAATTATTTTAAGAATTATCGCATCAGTTATGTCTATTCGTCTTTACATTCTGTTATCACTTTAAATTAATATTTTTAATATTTTAATACTTAGTAAATATAATTTCATCACTATGATATTGGAAATTTGTTTCTTCTCTTTACCTTCTTTTCCATATTAGATATTGTCACTCTATCAAACAAAAGTGGCTTCTTTATATTCCTGTGTGTGTAAGTTTTTCTCCTGTATTAATTTTTCTTCTTCACAATATACTACAGCATAAAATCCAAGGAGGTTAGAATAAATAGAGTAATCCTTCTCCATATGTTCCGTGCAATGAACATGAAGCCGTGAAACGTCACGGTATGATGTCAAGACTTATCATGGCCACTGCCATAGGCGAACTTCTGGCTGATTTTGTTTACAATTCTCTTTATTCTAAAGTTGCATTGTAAGGACGTATTTGTCTTGCTTTCTATCCTCGGTTTAGGAATGAATGATTACTAACTGCATACTGCTGTATACATTAGGTACATACACATTTCCAGGACATATGCGAATCATAAAAGTACGAGAACTATTGGTTTACATACGCTAAAGTAGAATTTTAAACTTAATTCAAGCCTTAAAATTTCAAAACGTATTGCTGTATACATTAATTTATTTAGTTTTACTATTTACATAACATAAATTAAAAAAGTTTTAATGGAATAAATGATTGTAATGCAATATATTTGCTTCACTAGATGTATCAGCAAAGTTAAAGAAAACTTATTATTAAATAATTTTAAGCTCATTTTTGATGATTTTTGATAAAACATGTTAAGCTCATTCAAATGATTTTAAGCTCAATTTTCTATTTTCTAGTAGTGTTAGGTCATATACAAATCCAAATTAAAGTAATCCCACAACAGTAAGAGAAAGTTGGAGAATTAAAAGTAAACTTCAATTAAGAACTTTTCCCAGTATTTTATTGTACTCATAAGTAAAAACACCTTATATAGAAAAATGGAACATACAGAATAATGAGGATATTCAGAGAAATGCTGATGGGATGAATTAATTATAAATATGGAATATGATGAATTTTCGGCATGTTTTCATATGCTCTGACCTATGGTGGCTTGATGAAAAAATGGCCCTCTATTTTCTCAATTTTTCCTTGAATTTAGCTGTATACTTCTATCAAATTCAGCAAAGTATCACCTAGAAAAAAGAAAAAAAAATCTGATTCCATAATGACAGGATCATAAAAAATAGCATATATTTAAATCGCTTCTAATTTCCTGTTCTTTATAATAAAAAGTTCGATTTAATAAACAAAATATAAAGAATAAAATTGAAATAAGAGCAAACTGTTAGCATGATAGCGCGAGACAATGCTCGAAGAGATTATGTTTTAGTTTTACTTCCATTTAATTTCGGTATTTCAATTCTATATAAATGCAATATAAAATTATGTTTCAGATTCCTAGGACGAAAACAAAATTTTCAGCCACTTTATGGAGTGCATATAATACCTAATCTATGAACAGATTCTAAAATTTTATTATCGAGTTAGTCTCCGTCTTTCATGTCTCTGCTTTTTTTAGAATTTAGTGTTGCCATTGCTTGCTTTGAAGTTGTTGAGATTGTTAATCAAACATTTGTTAAAGTTTTATAAAATATTAAACAGATAATAAAACAAATTCCAAATTTGGGCTTCCAGATGCCCATATTCGAGTGAAGGACTATGTTATTCACAATTTGATGTCTCTCGGTACTGTTGTTTTTTCACAGTGCGAAAAACATATATACATTCACGTAGATTATTCATTATTTAATTTCTTTAAATAAAATACAGGGCGATAATATTTGGTGACAACAATTTGAAAAGTGAAACGTCGTTTATAGTGAGCCAACGCAAAACACCAAAAGGAAATTAATAGCCCTTCTAGGCTAATTGCCCATTGCGGCTAAAAACAAAATAAATAAATAAGCAAATAAATATAAGAAATTCCCCATTCCAAAATTTAAAAAAAAAAATCTGAAAGCTTTGAGATTTTATATTACGCCCAGAGGGCGTTTTTTTAATGTTTTGTGTGGTACCTTTATTAAATATCATGTTCTTCGCACTTAAACCATAAAATTCAATTCAGCAGTAATATCACAAAATATTTATAGAAGCATATCTTTAGAATTTCCGTTACACAGTCTCTCGCGCTGAAGATAAAAATGTTTTCTTTTCCTTAAAGTGCTGTCATTGCTCGCTTTGAAATCGTTGAGTTTCTTAATCAAAAAATCATAAATGCTTTACAAAATATGACATAGAAAATAAAACAAATTTCAAATTTGGGCTTCCAGATGTCCATATTCGGGTGGAGACGTACGATAAAATTTGATGGCTGTAGGTACCGTTGTTTTATCACAATGCGTGAAACATACATACATTTATGCAGATTCTTCATTATTTAATTTCTTTAAATATAATACAAGGCTCTAATATTTGGTGGCAACATTGTAATAAGTGATTCACCGTATATAGCGAATCAACTCAAAATGCCAAAACGAAATTAATAGCCCTTCTGGGTAAATTGCCCCTTTTGTGAAGATTTGTGAAATTTCAAATCTTAACTGGTTTGTTAATACTAATAACTATTAACTGGTTCTAATAGTTTGTTAAGGTTTTGACGCTTTGGCCGAGTTCACAGTCTACCAGTGTACTCTTGCACTCACTATTACTAACATTTAGTTTTATTACTAAGCACCGTTTTCTTCGCACTTACATCACATACACCTCAACAACAAAATCACAAAAATTTTAAAAGCTACATAAGAGCACATGTTTAGAATTCCTGATGCAATATTAAGTGTTGGCATACATTTCTATATTTTTTTCAGTCTTTTCTCTGTTCATCACATCAATTTCAGTTTTCTTAGTAAGATTATCAGGTTCAATGTTCCGTCTTACTTTCTTTCGGGAACATGCAAGGACCTGACTCGGAACAGAGAGCTTACTAAAGCTATGTTCAATAACTGTGGGAAATAGACAGGATACACAAGAAGGGTATACAAAACCCTTTATTTTTCTCTATTTACAATAACTTCCGTACTTCGGAATACAAAGACCCACTACTTGTGGTCTAAACGTAAAAATATAAAAATAAAACTAAACTCTAATTTAACTTTAAAAATAATAAACGTGGAAGATTGGCCTTATATTAACAGGAAGCCGTATGTAGTACAGAGAACTGTGAACACTACAATACGTTTAAAGTTATCAAGAGGATTAAACCTCTGGCCTGGAAGGCAACCAGCAACTGAGTAAAACTTCTAAGGTAAGCGGCCTGCTTCGACTAACTGCTTCCTCTCCCTCGCTTGGCACAAAGCCACAACTTAAGTACTTAGCGTTCGCCAGACAAATTTTGCATAAATACATTAACGCTTATAATTCTGGCCGGAAGTAATAAGAAGTGATAGTAAAGATTTAAAATAAAATAAACGTTAGTAAAACTTAAGATCCTTACAAGATGACTAATACTTTTTTTTCCCTTTTTATTTTTAACTTTTTATGTGTTAAATTCATACGTTAAATATCGCATTTTCGCTCTTACGCCACATAAAATTTAGTTCAAGAGTAAAATCACAAAATATTTTGAAAAAGCATATGTTTAGAATTCCGGATAAAGTGTTAGAGGTTGCCATACATATTTTTATATTTGCTACATTATTTCGTAAAAAATCCTTTCGTGAGGACAGCTGCCTAAAATAGTTATTATAAAAAAGAAAAATGATATAATGATTTTAATTACCTTCACCTTGTGTAATTTCATAAAAATATTAAATATTCCTAACTAGCCATCTTATGATTTTAATACATTTTCATTTAAATTAATCACATTAAATGTAGAGGAAATATTCTTAAGAACTGTGTTTCTTGATTTCAAATCACTTAGCGTATAACTCAGTCTCCCAATATCTTGGGCTTTACTGAATGGCTACACGCTATCGCATGGAAGATAAGATCCGGCCGCGGCATTACTTTCATAGAGGCGAGTTTCTAAATTAAAATTGAAAGCTAAATATACACTCTTTTGGGAAAAAAAAAAAAAAAAAAAAAAAAAACCGAAGCATCATGAAGGAAGTGGTTGTTTTTGATAAAATTGAATACCACAGATAATAAAATGTGATACACAGCTCATACACATATAATAAAATGATTAAAAAATCTGGTCCTAGTACCTGTTCACGGCTCACAATCACCCACTGAGTGTTCAAATTAGAAGTTGGTCGAACAGTCCCTGGCGACAATCCATGCTTGAAGTAGTTGAAGCAAAGACGATAGAGGTTCCTAATGTCATCCTGCGACACATTCTGCCAGGCATTCATCAGATCTGTGATATTTTGTGGTGCCCGAATCTGGCGGCCTACCATGTCCCACACATGCTCGATTGATGAAAGGTCTGGTGACCTTGGTGGCCAAGGAAGAATATCAACCGCACGGGGACAGTCCAGAGATATGCGAGCGGTATGTGGCCTGGCATTATCTTGTTTGAAAATGGCCCCAGTATGACGTGCCATGAAGGATAATGCAATCGGCCGCAGGATGGTATCAACATATAGTTGAGCTGTTAAAGATGTACGGAGGATGACTAAAGATGACCTACTATCTTAAGAAACAGCGCCCCACATCATCGCACCAGGGATTATTATGGCTGTATGCCTTTGTAAAACAATAGCTGATTGGGACCACTTTCCCCGTCCTCTCCAGACACGAACATGGTGGTCAGCTGCTTCAAGAATGAATCGGGATTCATAGCTGAACACTATACAATGCCAGTCTGATAGCAGCCATGATGATTGGCTGCGGCACCACTCCAGACGACTTCGCCAATGTTGTGTGGGGTCGAATGCAAACGTCTTAAAGGCCTCTGTGAGCGTAACCCCGCCTCAGACAAGCGCCGTGAGATGGTGGACGGTACCCCGGGAGGTATAGACGTGGCTGTAGTGCGTTGGATAGTCGACAATGATACGGGCGGTTCGAGCCTGGCGAACAATCATTCTATCTTGCCTCACATTTGTGCTCCTTGGCCTTACAGAGCCTTCATTTCGTCGGCAATTTCCTTGTAGCAACCATTGCTGTCAACATCTTTGTACAGCAGTGTCTGTACGCTGCAGGTGGCCGCCTATTGCTCGGTATGAGCACCGAGCTTCACGCAACCCTACAATGCGACCACGTTCGAAGTGGTTTAGTTGTCTCTAAGATCTTCGATATCTTCGTAATGGCATCTTTAGTTGCTTCCTTACGGAATTACAATGGCAGCAACAAGAAAATTTAAATGTTCTGCCTCTGCTACTGGCTTTATATTTTGCGAATTGCGCCCTAGAAATGCGCGCTACGATCGCAATTCCTGGTCATATTCCTTGAAATTTTGATCATTTGCATGTTCTGTATGTTCTATCAAGATGTTTTTGCATACCAAATTTCGTCACGATCGCAAAATTCCTTTTTGGTGTTTCAATTTTTTTTGCAAAAGAGTGCATTTCATTTTCCCGAATAGCAACAGTCTCGCGCGCTGCAGATAAATACATTTTATTTCGAATAGTGTTACAACTGCTCATTTTCATATCGTTGAGTTTGTTAATCAAATATTCATTAAAGTTTTAGAAAACCGAACCGCTCAACCGGTATAGCGGTTAGCGCCCCTAACTACCGTAGCGATGGGCATGGGATCGAATACAGGAGAAGGCATGGCTATAACTTTTCGTGCCTTCAGAGGAGGCAACGGTAGCCACATATTAGGTGCTTCTATAATGAAATGGGCACCACTTCCGGCCACCACTTGCTTGTAGTAGCGCAAGGCTAATAGCTACTAAATAAAGCGGCCGGCCATCACACAGAAAAGTTTTACAAAATTCGAAATTCGGTCTTCCTGGTACACATGTTACGTTAGCCCGCTAGATGAGCGGGTTGTAACCAAAGCAATATTAATGAGTTCTATGTATTACTACAAAATAAATGTATAAAAACATTTCAGTATGAATGAAATCAGTTCATTCTTTCCAAGCAACAACCAATTCGTAAATAATTTTTTTATTGCTAAACCAGGAAACAAAAGCTTTTCACACTTTAGGTTATTACGTATGGCGTCATTATTTAAATTTAATGTAATATAACAACATTGTCTCGATATTTATTAAATAATTAACTTGGGAATAATATATCG